TCACCATAATTATAAGTAGGTCTACCTGCAACTTTCCAAGAATTATTATTCCTAGCAGCTGCTAGTAAAACTTCAAAATAACTATCGGCTTTTTCATTGATTTTTTTATCTACCCAAATATGATCATCAAGTTCTTCATCAACTGATTTATAATCTAATAAATCATTAGATTGATGCATTGTCTTATTTTTTTTTAAACATGCATGCTCAGCTTTTGATTTTCTCGCAGCCTCAAGATGGTGTTTTCTTTTATTTGGATAGGGCATGATTAATATGGGTTAAATCCAATAAAAATTAAAGCCACAATCTCTTTACACAATTTTGTTATAATGTCTTTGGTGTTTTTTTTTAAGGATTTATCAGGGGGTTTTTTTTCTTAGAAAAAAAAAATAAGCTAGTCTACTTTATGACTTTATGACTTTATGAATATCAGAGATTTATAGATATATATGACAGGTCTACTTTATGGCCTTATAAATATTGAGGCTTCCAGATCTATATATCGTGGGACCCAAGTCTGCAGAGTTTGTGCTATGTCTTGCACTCGCTTTATTATGGTATTTTGCTTCTTATTTCAACACTCGTAAATGATTTCAAGAAAATAAAGTATGAGTTCGATCTTACAGATCGAACCTTATCGTTATTTATTCATTTGCTTTCATGCATTATTATATCACTTATCCGTCACAATTGACTTTAAAATTCCATTGTCTTGAATAAACTTCTATATTGTACCCACAATTATATAGATCTAGCTAAATTACGATTTTACCTCTGCAATATCTAAAAAGAGCTAACCTGGCACTAAATCTATATTTGACCAATCATATCCTAATCCTATGTAACCGAATTGTAAAATTTAATTGGATAATTAATCAATCATATGATTTGTAACACCCTGAAATTTTGGCCACAAAAGTTACGTGATGTCAGTTCTAGGCTTCTTGCACTATATAAAAAATAATCTATAGATACCCTATCCTTAAATGATTAAATTATTGAGAACTACTAAAATTTACATATTAATATTAAATATTGCAACATAGTTTTAAAAGCAAGCTATTT